CGCTCTTCCTAAGACCCAGTATGTAGGAGGTGAAACAAAGAGCCTTACCTGCCTGTGCAGCTGTAATTAGAGCTGTGTTCCCTTCGTTGTCCTGCCAGTTCACATCAAGGTGAGGGCATTGTGCTAAGGCTATTACAATATCCACATACCCTTGGTAACAGGCGACGATAAGACCATTCTGTAAGTAAAATATAAAGAGACCATCAGGTTTACCAGACTCAGAAAAGTTCACTGAGGAAGCATACTTGTGTGCTCTTTTATTTTATTTTTTTTCAAGCTAAAGAACTGAAAAGGCATCAGTGTAACTAGTTATTGGCTCCAGGCACAATGTTCAAATACAAAACACCACTTTATACCTCTGCCCTTTGGCTAGTAACATTTGGTGTTCCTCAGAAACACCTAGGAGACTAGGTATTATATTATGTTACTTGGAAAGGATCTGTTTATAAATGGTATATGTTTATATGGCTATATACTCTACATTCAAATGAGAATAAATCAGATTTTATTATATAATAAAATGAACCCATTAGGTAACATGAATTGGACCTGCTTTGAATATTTATTCTCTGAAAAACAACTAGTTGTTCTCTGAAGATAAAGTGGTATGCAGGAGTAGTGTTTGCCTGTTGCTATCTTTAAATACTTCAGGTTTCCCATTAGAAGTAGATTTTTTAAATAATAATAAATAAAATAAAATTGCTTTTAGAGCCACTGCCTAATGTACTTTATGACAGCTGGAAGCTGTAAAACTTCCAGGAGGAAGCCACGCCAGGAGGTAAACCTTGTAACTCCACTTGGTACCCAACCAATGTTTCACTGCAAGTGGCAAACTGACAGCTTCTCTAAAATACAGCAAAATACACTTATCATTGATTAAATGGAACGACAGTACTTAATCCTGGCTGCTCACTTGACCACTAGGATTAAAGCTATTATCTCTGGTCTTTGGGACTGCTCGGGTAGCCTGCTGTTCCTCTGAAGGGGAGGGCAGGTGCCGAATACATCAGTGCTCCCTGCGCTCCCTCTGCACCACCGACACCTGACTCAGTTTTCTTGAGCTCAGCATCGGTATCTGACTACTGAAAAGGTAAGGGCAGAGACACAAATCTCAGCCTCCCTGGTAGCCCTGTCTGCCTAAAACATGCTCACACAGACATGCTGCAAGTTCATAATCACAGCTGGCTAGAGGGATAACTTGGTTATGAAAACTGAATGGCCTGTCCTAACTCATCCATTATTTTTCTAAGAAGCTCTCGTTTATTCTTTTTATTCTCTTTATTTCTTTTCCCCATGGACACAGAGGCATTCACCAAATAACCACAACTGTGAGTTCTGATTTATTGTCATTATAACTAATCAGTTAATATTTCAGTGTCCTGCTTCATTGTTATGATGAATACTCATTTTGGCTCAGGTGCAAACAGTTTCATTAAGACACAGAGGCAATGACAACTCTTTGGGATGCTCACAAGCTATGAAGGGGATTTCTCAATTATATCTTTCGATAAAATTATTACTCTGATTTCTTTTTATTCTCACTCTTGTCCTCAGCATGAAGCAACACCACTCTTTGTAAAGAGTATCTCCATTTCCTTGTGAAGTCCCTGTAATACTTCAAACCATTCTATTGAAATTGTACAGAGGATACTGCTATCATAGAATCACAGAATGGTTTGGGCTGGAAGGGACCTTAAAGAGCACCTAGTCCAACACCCCTGCATGGGCAGAGACACTTCCCACTAGACCAGGTTGCTCAGTGACCCATCCAGGCTGGCCTTGAACACTTCCACAGATGTGGCATCCACAGCTTCTCTGGGCAACCTCTTCCAGTATCTCACCACCCTCTTTAAAAAAACTTTCTTCCTAAGTTAACGTAAATCTCCCCTCTTTTAGTTTGAAACCATTACCACTTGTACTATCACTACAAGGCCTTGTAAAAAGCCCCTCCCCAGATTTTCTGAAGGCCCCCTTCAGGTACGGAAAGCCACTATAACGTCTCCCCAGAGCCTTCTCTTCTCCAGGCTGAACAGTCCCAACTCTCTCGGCCTGTCTTCGTGGGCTCCAGCCCTCTGATCATCTTTATGGCCCTTCTACGGACTTGCTCCAACAGCTCCATCTCCCTCTTACATTGGCAGCTCCAGAACTGGACACAATACTCCCCAGTAAGTACTGGAAACTAAGCTTCCTAGCATAAGGAGTCTAGAAATTAGGATTTTTTTAACAAATTATATTCAGTTTTACTAAAAATGCTTTTGTCTTCCAACAAGTACGGTTACAATCCTATCTTCGTGTGATCTACTGGCAACTGTAAGGCCTTAATTAGAGAGCCAAAGAGAACAGCTACAGAGCTAAATAATGCAGAGACAACAGCACTACAAATATATATAAAAATACAATTAACTAACATGTATGTACTCTCCTGGTGGGATTGTTGAGATTGATTCCAGTTTTACTTCAATGTAATAAACCTTAGCTTTAAAAAAAAAAAAAAAAAAGTGTCAGTGTCCCCTTGGTAAGGACTTTAAGGACTTGAGCATTATTCTACTTCTTTAATAATTACACTTTTCACCTAATGTTCAGGATAGGGGTCTTTACAACTCCAAAACCTGCCAATTTAAAACTTCATCCAGTCATTTAGTAAGATGTCAGCTACTAATGACAGCAGAAAAATACGTATACAATAGACTGGAGACCTAAAATTCTTGACAATAAGAAAGGGGAATCTATTGTTGACTGCAAAAATTGACATTTTTTGAAGAGAGTGGTATCTTCAAGCAGCTGTAAGAATAACTTAATTATCTCTAATGGAAACAAACGTTTCACTCAGTATCTGAAAAATATTTTCATAGGACAAGTTCAAAAATATTTACCAGATGCTTTATAAAAAAACTCATTTTTTGCTCTCTTTAAAAGACAAATAAATGGTAGACTAGTAAAACAAACAATAACAAACAACAAACATTAGCTATTTTGTGTGAGAGGCTTTTGCATTACGGTATTTAAGGACATTTGTCCTACTTTTAGTGGGTACCTCTATCAGATAGGTTCTAATTAAACTAAAACACACTGACATTCTGATTTCAGCAGATATGATGCACCAATGATCTCAGAATCAACCAACCTCATTCACAGTTCTGAGTTGATGAACCATTAGGATTACTCAGGTATCAACATTTTCTGAAGTTTATTTCACCAAGGTGTTAGCACTGATTGCTTAAGGATAAGGAAAGGCAGTGGAGAATAGGATCTTTCTGAGGGATTTCTTCGTGCAGTAGCATGGAAAATAATTTTTGAATGACAGTTGTATGAATCTGAAGTGGGTCAAATGAGAATCTGAGAACCTGGTGTTGAAAGGAGCATGCCCAGCACTCCCTCGTTAAGATGCAAAATGAGCAATTGCACAAGAATCTAACAACAAGTCATTTCACCCCCTTGGGGTTCCCAGCACCATCCAGGGCTGATGCCAGTGCTCTCTGGTTATCCTCACCACTTACAGGTTTCCTAGGGAAGCAGCTTGCTAAGGAGCTGCTTTCCTTTGCATAACTCTTGTAAATACATCAGATAGTGAAATGAGGTGCAGGAGGCTGCAGCATTAGAACGAAAATTGCCCCTGGATTTGACAGTTATTCCCCAAATCCTGGTTCAATTCAACCAAGATAATTCATGGGTTTGGGTTGTTTTTATTTTTTCCTTTCTTTTCCTTCCCTTTTTTGCATTCATTTCTGGCCCTGTCTGTATTCTGCTGGAAGTTAGTACAAGCAGATCAGCCAGGATGCACAATCAATCAATCAACCAACCAATGGCAACATGAGTTATTAGTCTGGAAACTTTCACTTCATATACCAATAAATAATATCCACAGACATAATATATTAAAAACTCTTTCAACAATCTCAATAAAGAAATATAACTGATAGCAAACTGCTTTCAGCTAACTTTTGAAGCAATTGGTAATGCAGTAGCCTGTATCACTGGAGTCTGCAAGAAAACACAGCTGTGTGCTTAATGTTTTTTTAAAATACAAAAGTAAAGCAGGATAAATTAATGTTGGCTGGAAAATTCTGAACTTGAGTAACCTGATTATCCTCAGAAAAGAGGTGACATTTTCTCTCATTAATGTTCTACCCAGGCATTAATTATACTTTTCCTCACATGAAGGGTCACAGAGCAATTATGAAGTGATCAGTCTATGTGGAAAAAAAAATCTTTAAATGAACCTTACTATTATTTTCTCAGTAAGATCAATTCTCAGACATATTCACTACACGTGAAAGCTTTAGGAGAAGGAAGACTGATAATTCTTATATGCATGTCCTCTCCCTAAGCCTTTTTCCTTCAACAGCATCCCTTTTTTCTCCCTTTCGTATGTCCTCAAACACCACTTATCTTAAAACATACTAAAACCTCAAACTATTCCCATTAATATATAAAAATAGTCAGTTATTAGAAGGAATAACTGTACATATGTCCACAGCATAGAAGCTCAGTATCTCTGCCTTTCAAGGACTGTTCTCTTAGCTAAGACCTGCTCTCTCCCAATTAGCAGCCAGAAATTCTGCTCATCATTCTCCCAGATCAACGAAACAGAACAGACAGAAAAAGCCTGCTCTGATCCTCTGTGCAGAGGAGACCTAAAACATGAAATGGCATTAAAGCCTTTGAACCATAGGAAAAGGGATTTCTTCATTACAGGAGATGGGGGCTTCTGGCCTCTCTGAGGTTTGCTACAGATCCTCTTTCATTTTTCAAATATTGCATACAGACCCTGCGTGACAGACAAGGAAGCATGAGTCATCCATCACATCAACTACACTAACATTTACCGTCCATTTTTCCCCAGCAGGGCGGTTGAAATTCAGGTCAGTAACAGTTTTCTTCCAAGTAGAAGCCATAGTACTGCCAGGTCTTGAGGGGTCTGTCTTTCCTCCATGGAGTATTTGGCATTTAACAGAGCTTCCCCACAGTTCTTCTGTAGTATATGACATGTCTTCTTCTCATGTAACTAGCATGGTTTTGAAAGACCCCCTTTTGTTTTGAAGTTACAGAGAATACTTTTAAGAATACTTTGTTTAGAGTATATGACAAAAGGGTCAGTCTGGGATAAAATACTTATTTTCCATATATTCTAAATAAAGTAGAACCAATTTTCTTAATTTCATCCCAGAGCACATAAATGGATATTTCAGGCATGGGGCTACCTACAGGTAACCAGATGTTGCAACACCTTCCTCAAGCAGTGTTTATGAATTGTAAGAACTTCATAGTACTCTTCCATAATCACACTAAAAGTATTGTATTAAAATTTGCAGGTTTGAAATTGAATAAAACAGTCTTGTGAAACTTTTGATTATTTTTAAACTGATATTTCTTCATGGGCCTTAAATCTCTTTGATTCCATGTAAGACTGGAATAGTGCTGCCACCATAAAACCACATTTTGCCTAGCTCAGCTGAGTTGGCTAACAGCAAAACAATGTGTCTGATTAAGTGAGGTCATAGACATCTCAGGAGACATTTCTATAAATCGGATGTTATGACAAAATTACAGACGTAAGGCTACTTGTATACTAGCTCCTTACAGATAATAGAGATCACAAGAAAGACTAGAGGATCAATAATGAACTCAAGCTGAACTGCAGAGCAAATCACATACAGCATGCAATTATTTCAGCTTTAAAAAAAAAAATCTCTTGGGGCACCTTATTTTCCATCAAGATGCTGAGAATGAAAACAGCTTATTATATCTTTTTGCCTATTATCCCAGGCAAAAATTGGTCTGGCAAAAGACTAAATTGACATTACCTGTTGCTTTTCATAAGCATCATGATAAAGAACTGTCCAGTTCACCTTGCATGCATCTCTAAGTATTAATGACGACTCTGCAAGGTTGGTTTAACAGCAATGATTAAAACTGCATGTAATTGAATTAAATGAGATAATGATTCATTTAAATCTATAATCTTGTGCAGGAACAACTATGCAAATTATGTCTAAGTTAAAAGCACATTACACAAACAATATTTTGAGTAATAGAAATGGAAGAATATAAACCAAAGGAATAAAGAGTTCTGTTTAAACTTTTTCTTCTTGATTTACTAAAGCAGTGATTTATGTATCTAATAGTTTGTATTACAAATAACACCATTATAAAACAACTAGATATAACTATCACTCACTATAAGACAATTCACATACAAATAATAATTTAAAAAAAAAAATCAGGTAAAGTACTGCAAAATAAATTTCCTAAAATTATTTAAGGGAAGTTCTGACCTCCATTAAAATCTCTGAAACCCTGTGAAACTTGGGTCAAAAGAGATTAGAAATTCACATTGTATTAAAAAAGAGCAAAATCTACTACTCAGCATCACTATCCACTACATACTAATTTGTGTATAATGCACAAAACCTTCCAGTCTGCATAAAGCAATCTGAGAAACTTTCATAAATGGATTGAGCTTATATTGTAATTGGTTTAGCTGATCAGATCAACAGCGACTGAGATGAGGTAATTATTCAGGTCACCAGTCCCATGAGAAGCGGTGTTTATGTGCTACAGAAATCCATCAAGCACATAAGCTTGAATATTATCTGGGCAAAATAATTCTGGCTGACCTTTTAGAGAGAGGGCTGCAACAGCTTAGTCACATACAGATTTATATTGGGAAAGCAACAAAAAAAGAGCTGGGAATTGAAATCAATTTTGGCTGACTGTGGGTTGGACAAAACTCCAAATGAATAGAGGGAGGCAAGGGTGGGGATTTGCCAGGGAAAGCAATCAGACAAGTGCAAAGTGTATTCAAGCAGGGATGGAGCAGTGAAGTACAAAACTCACTACCTCCTTTGCAGGGGAACACAGTAGCCTGAAGCACAACCTTCTATCCAAAAGCAAGCTTAAATGGCACTACTCCTTCCAGTGCCTGAATACTGAAGGCACAAAATTGCCACCTTCACAGCGTTAGGAGCACTCACAGATTCACCTTCCAGCATGAACTGCATCCCGCTGGCTGAAAACACAGGCCAGTCTGTGGACTCGCAGGTGATAACCTGCCAACTTCCCCTCTCCATTTTGTGGGAGATGTTTGATTTTATTTGCTTCATAAACACCTCTTGTATCATTCAGGACATATCTTTTTAAGTAAAGTTATAGCTTGGTGTATCTATCATCTCTGCAGGAATCTTTACTTAATCTATTCTAATCCAAATCTCCATGATCACCTCTAAAAATAGTCCCAGGAAAGTTCATTTTACTATGCCTGGAAAAGCTTGCATTACACAACAAAGAAGGAGGTCAGCAGCAGAGTGCACTCAGGATTAAATCTAGTCCTGGAAACAGCTCTGCAAAAAAAAATAAATAATAATGAGCTGAGGGACACAGTGTCAGCTGAGTTGCAGGAGGCCTGGGCTGCGTTGCCAGTAAGCTGGTTTACTCTGTGTTAAGATGACACTTGGTGGTAACTTCTTAAGAGTAGCAACCAGACTTGTGTTAGCAATGAAAAACCTTTGCTTCCTCTTTCCTCTCTGAACCTCAGCTTGAAACAAAGAAGTGAAGACCTGGATACGTGAACAAGAGCTAGCAGCAACTACAACTAACTCAGGTTTATTTTAACATTGAGGCACTTGAATTAGGAAATTTAATGCAATTCCATTGAAAAATACATATATATTTAAAATATTCACTCAGGATGTTAGCAGGTATACACATCAGGCTCAAGATCAATTTTGTTAGAATAATGTATATTTTGCAGTGACATCTGATAAGACTATATTAGGAATATATTCATCAGTCTGATATTTCATCAGTAGCTTTGCTAGTGCCTTTGCTACTGACAGCAGACTGTCATGCAGCAAACCAATATAAAGAATGCAGAAATGTATTTGGAAAGGGAGGAAACCAGGATTGTTTTTCCATGACTGAAAACAGAAGTGACATTTGAGGTAGTCCAATCAGTCCAAAATTAAGCTTTGTAATGTATGGGAGATCTATGATCACAGCAGAAGTAAAGAAGGTATAAATTTAGAAAAGGAATATCAGGAAGCTTTAAGGAAATACTGTTTAATAAAAACAACACATACTTAAAATTAACTGGCAGGTCACCTTGTGGAGTTATCGCCATGAGTCATGCGTTAAAAAGAAGTTATCTCTGGTTTCAATAGCACAGCAAATCAGTCCAGGGTCCCATTTTCAGGGAAAGGTTCTTTGTTTTGTTCATGGGGTGCCTTGCTGTAAGGGATAGAAAATACTGTGGGAAGATGGCAGGGGAAATAAGACATTTTTTATCAGGTTAAATTTCACTGCCATGTTAGGTATAATTACTAAATAGTGACGACCTCTGAAGATCACAGAGTCCAATCTTCCTGTTGCAGCAGGAACACCTAGGGCAGATCACACAGAAACATGTCCAGACAAGTCTTAAAAATCTCCAGAGAAGGAGCCTCCACCACCTCTCTGGGCAGCCTGTCCCAGTGCTCTGTCACCCTCACAGTAAAGAAGTTCTTCCTCATGTTGAGGTGGAACTTCCTGTGTTGTAACTTGGTGCTGTTTCCCTCGTCCTATCACAGGGCCCCACTGAAAAGAGACTGGCCCATTCTTGACATCCACCCTTCAGATATTTCTAGACATTAATCAAATCATCTCTTAGTCTTTTCAAGAGTAAACAGCCCCAGGTCTTTTAGCCTTTCCTCATGTGACAGGTGTTTCAGTCTTTTAAACATCCTCGTATCCTCTGTTGGACTCTTCCCAGCATATCCCTGTCCCTCTTGAACTGGGGAGCCCAGAACTGGACACACTACTCCAGGTGTGGTGTTACAAGGACAGAATAGAGAGTGAGGAGAACCCCCCTTGACCTGCTGGCCACACTGTTCATAATGTATCCCAAGATACTATTGGCTTTCTTGGCCACAAGGACACATAGTTGTATGGAAATGTATAACATAGTTATATAACATTTTGCAGACTCTTGTAATTGCCAGATTAATTTAAAATCCAATGTTACAATAATAGTCTTCCTATTATATCACTGAAGCATTTTGTTTGTATGTTTGTTTGTTTGTTTATTTTCTGGAAGGCAAAAACTCTTAAGAGCTAAACAAAGCAATAGACAAAGGTGGATCATCTAACAGCACAACCCAGACCTGATGTGACATGTATCCAGTGCTCTCTCACACCACGTAAGACCTTTAAGAACATTCAGAAACCCATTCAGATCTGAACTCCAAATCTTGGGCCTGACAGGCACTGCTCTTAACTTCTCTCCTGGTATCTAAATATATACACATTTTGCACACACTTAGGATAAGAAAGGAGAGTTCTCAGCATGTAAAAAACATACTTCGTACTGCATTCAGAAGGCACGTGAAATGCATTTTGTGCACAAACATAACTCTGTTAAAAAGTACACCCCCTGGCTATAAGGCATAGAAATCAGCTCCTCCCCATCTGCTTAATAGATACATTTTCCTTTTTGTGATGTTCTGTCAGACACAGGCTGACTGTAGCTTAGATCTTTTGCAAGAGGCTAAATGGAGGTTTTCAATGAATAGTTTTTTTCAGGAGAATTCTCCGGAAGTAATGACTCATGGTCTTTGTAAGCAATATATTTCAGTCTGATGCTGGCTAAAATATAAACGTACAGCCTTCTACTCTGTCATAATCTCTCACTGGATATAACCTGTCTCTTCTAGAAACGTTTTAAAGGCCCCATTGCATTTTCACTGTGGAGTTCTTCCAGTGACGGGCTTGCAAGCACCCTCTTGTGGCAATGAGCTCCTGCAGTAACAGTAGGAAAGACCACTTTCTCATTAAGTTTCAATTCCTCTCCTCCAACTTCTGTAAATTCATTGTACTTGTATTTCTCTGAGCCTCTCAGCTGTGGAATTGCACCAGGCCCAAATTTTGTAAAGAGAGAGCCTGGAGCCCAGTAAGAGGTGTGTCCATCAATGGCTAATCTGCCACTGAAAAAATAAGAAATGTCTCTTTCCTCAAAAGAAGGAAATCAACCTGATGAAGAAAGAATCCATCAGGGTGAAAGCTATTCCTTGGCAGAGGCCCTGTTCTCTACCAAGAAAAGCAACTGTGTACCCTTCTTGGGACACCAGAGATGAGGGACTGCCTGCATGCTACACACAATGCTGCATAATAGCACACATAAAAGTTCCAGCCTATTTCCTCATCCTTTGATCTAAAGAAGCAAGAGCAATAAAAGCCCAATATTCATCTTAATCTGCCATTTGACAATAAGTTTCATAACATCAGTGGATGAGTAATACCCTTCCTCTCCTATAACACTTCAATACTAACCCTCCCCACTGATCTTGGATCTTCTAATAATAAGCCTATTGATCCTGCAACCGACCTGAATGGACCAGAAAATTGTGTTAAAATTTCTCCCCCAATGAAAACAGAAAGGGGAAAGGACCAGCTGCCCTTGTACAGCTGAAGGGCAAGTGATTGTCTGATAGCAGAGATGTAGTAGTAAGTATCCTACAGGATTCACCTTTCATTCTAGATGTGTTAACACATTGCAAGAGTGAGCATCTTTTCAATCAAGAAGATAACATGGTAACAACAATCAGTAGTTGTTGTGCATGAAAATGCAATTAAATACTGATATTTAGGAGGAATTGTATGCTGAAATACTGTTGGTAGACATTAAAAAGATTCTACAGCTGGATCAAGCATTACTATTTTACTTCTATCAAACAAAGATCTCTCTGAGGGGCTCTCTTTCAGATTCTCATCAGCTACTGCAAATAGCAGTGGTTCTTCAGATGTCAAAGAATCCAGGTTCTTGAAAGCCCTTACTTACCATTATGCTTTCCACAATGAAAGTATTTCCTTTATCTAGGATATGCATCTGGTTTTATCTAGACTGGCTTTCATCTCAGTTATGCCCCTTCCTGTTTTTTTCCCAGCTCAAACAAGACAAAAGATTTCTTTGTGCATAAATATGAAAAAGATCTCCTGCTCCTCCTTAGAAAACAGTTAAACTTTCATGAGCAGTAGATACATCTGTGGTGAATTGATGGGAGGTGTCTATTTTTCACTCAGAGACCCAAATTGGATGTTGGTATGTATGGATTAGTGTCAACTCTCCTGACCCTAAAAGACTGAAATCCTGTGATCCCACAGCTCCATGCAGTGCAGCTGCCATGGAATATCACAGATGACCACACTGGAAGCCAAAAACTGGATTTTTAAAAGTTTTAATCCATAGTTTCAGACTTGTGAAACTTGGATGAAAGTGCCAGAGTCCCTGGCCTCACAGGAAGTCTTTTGCTCTTTTCCACCTAGTATGTGCTGCTGATTACTAGTGCTCCACAAATTGCAGTGAAAAGAAAGAGAGGAGGCCCTAATAACGGTAATTTCTTAAACACAGCCTTGATAAATTCAAAGTCTCTGAATGTTGAAGATTTTAAATTCTGGGCAAAAACATTACCTTCAATCAAGTAGGCAATTTTCAAGCAATGCATAGTGAACTAGCATTGGCAATATTAGAGTATAAACTTTATGCCCAAGCTTTTAATCTTTTATAACTGTTAGAAACACTGATGACTATTATCACATTTAAAATTACTGCAGACCATGTGGATTATGCTCCTAGTTTTTATGTAAATAAGCTTTGGTCAAGGGCAAAGAGGGTGACTTGGACCTATGCTGATGACTGTAATTCTCATGGCTGGTCAGAGAGCAAGAACTAACTCCTACTATAAAAAACATCAAACCATGTTCTGTGTATTTTAGGAATAAAGTAACTGATAGGCTGTACACAGCCACTGGGGAGGAAATCCATTTTGCATCAGACTTCCCATTAAGGAATGGTTCCTTCCTGAAGGTTTATCATCACCCTGAGAAAAGTGCATCTCTTTTAACAAAAGACAGAAGTATATTTTTGAAAGATCAGAGAGTAGCACTTGGCTGTACGAAGACCACTGCTCTACTGGCCTGCAGCTCCTACTGAGTAGCCTCACATTCACTTAGAACTGTATTTAGGGAACAGGCTCATCCACAATGATGATAATCTCCAAGAGGCTCAGTCTGGCTTTTTGTTTGAGAAGACACACACTGT